ATATATATATATATATATATATATATATATATATATATATATATATATATATATATATATATATATATATATATATATATATATATGTATATATAGTACTAGAGAGATATATATATAGTATCTGTAAGGAAGAAAGAGAGAAGAAAGAAAAGAGAGCGTGTACGAGAGAGACAAGGTAGGGGAAAAGACAATCTCGTCACAGACTCGACCCACGCCTCTTCCATCAGCCGCAAACCTTACACATATTTGACTCGTTCTTCGAGAATAATTTTTCGACTCTTTGACTCAACTGCCTCAGCATGCGACCATTACTGGCGGCCGTTAATCAGAAATAGGAGCCAATCGACTCGACCGTTGGCCCAGTTTATTGTCTTTACTCACTACGAGAACGTCACTCTTCGAGGTCTTCGCGTCGCACGAGCCAATTGCCTCGAGGGCCAGGGACGTTTTCCTGGTACCGACACTATTTTTCTTACCTTCTTCAGATCCTTACTGGCGTCCGCTTCCTCGGCCTTTCTCTTCTCCGATAGCTTAGGTGCTGGTACAGGTACCGACGCCTCCCTCAGAGGCTTTAGCTCTACCTGTAAATGAAAGAGATCCATTCGTAAGCACACACGGGTTAGGACTTTATATGGGAAGTCGGGGGGATCGTTGACGAGGCCACCTTAGCAAGGGTCGCCAAGGGTCGTCAAGGGTGGCCAAGGGTGGCCAAGGGTGGCCAAGGGTCGCCCTGACAACGCCCCCTTGCCTGCATTGCGGTGCGCCTCGCTCAACCTCAGGTCATTCCTGTTCTTAGCTTTGTATATTGTAACACGAATATAATACCTAGGTATATATATATATATATATAGACAATATAAAGCTAGTTACACACGGTAACCGCAACTTAGTAAAACCACTAACCGAAAAACTCGACGGACATTACCGAGGTAAACATCATCCTCAAGAACAGAAACCTGTGGTCTATCTCTTTACGTATTACGAGACTCCTAACCGAAGACGTATTACCCACTAGAGACACCTTGAAACCTCTTTTATAAATAATTTACCTCCTAGGACTGTTGATGTGTATACTCATACCAGAGACGTGAAGCTATCGCTTTCAATTTAACCCTAGGTTTGGTTAGTGGATGAGGGTGTGTCGACGCGGTGGTAGAAAGAAAGTAATTTCGTCAAAATGAAAAGCTACCTTGCTAAACGGTGGCCGCCTGTAGAGCCCGCGGCTCGTGTTTCTAGTATACATGGAGCAGGAGAAAGAGGAGAAACCACAACTATGTCCGAGTAAGGGAGAAAGAGAGAAGCAACTCATTTTGGAACGTGGTAATATCGTAGTCCGGTATGCGTATCTCGTCGATATAGATACCACCATAGAAAGCTTACCAAATCGCTATTAATTTCCCTAACCGATATTGCGCTACGGTTCTCCAAGCTGGAGGGCGGAATCGGAAGGCGTTGATCGACCGATATAGACATTCTCCGCTTGGAGCATTCAAATAATCGTACAAGCTCTGCCGGTAACAATAGCTACCGACAGTACCGACTGCGCTAGTCATAACATTTGGATATAGGTATAAAGATGTTAGCAATTTTTTGCTTTCTCTAGGTTTACGAGAGCAGTTTTAACTGGTCGATTTAAAAAAAAAAAATGGTTACGAAGTTCTCCTATGGGGTAAATAAAACATTTTGTCTCTCGTTTTCATTTTACCGGTAATCTACCTCGGTGCTGGTGTACAGCTTCAATACGAATGTAATGGCAGTTCAACCGGAGACGTATAGAACGTGACTTGAGGTCCTTTTCAGAGAATGTAATGGTGTGCCTAGAAAATTAGGGAAATATTGAGTCCACAAGTGACGCTACGAACTTGGTAATTTTTAAATCCTGGATATATCGGATACGCCGGTGGATTTCAACCAGGTTATTAAGGAAAGTATCAATTTCGTATCAGGAAACTTTATGGGTTCAAAATGGAAATTCGATACATGGAATTTTTGTGTATACTAATGGATTTAACATTACCCTAGCTCCAGCTACAAGTAGACGTAAAGTTTAACAAAAAGAATCTAAAGGTGCAATCGCTTTACGAACGCATCGTCTGGTATCCTCTTGATTCTATATCATCCGACAGTCTCGATTGACCAAGTTCAAGGAAACAACAAATTCAGCTGAAACAAGAATCATTTTTACGAGATGCTTTTGTCCTCTGCTTTTTACTTTTTATTTTAGCTTCTTGACTCTTTGCAAATAGTCGACGAGTTCACTTCTCGAACGGTTTTCAATGAACCGCTCGATTCCTAAATGTACGTGTCAATCGGCTTTCCACGCCATTTGCAGATACAATACAAATCAGTGTGAAATAATAGTAAGATAAAGTAATTGAGTAATATATAATAACGTATATTAATAGTAATAATAGTAATATCTAATTGAGTAATAAAGATCGATAGATACAGCGCTCTGTATAATTAATACAAAAATTTAAATAAAAAAGGTATACATATATGTATCTGAAATAAGTATACGTACATATCGTTGATATCCCTTGAAGTCATTTGGGGTAGCCAAAGAACGTTCGCCTCTTGAAAAGCACGAGGGCATAAACTTGCATGGAATGGGCTATAGTGCACTAGAGTCGGAGTAAGAAGTTTAAGAGAGTATAGGGAGGTGGCTAGATGGTAGCAGCAGTGCCGGACTGGGTTATTCAGACCCGTAAAACTTGTCATTCCCAGTCTACGGTTATCGGGTCCTGGCAACAAGGTAAAAGAAGTCCTCGACGGAGGTCCACGAGCATGAAGAATAAGAGGCAGCAGGTCGACAAAGGAAAAAGGAGTAGAACGAGCAGAGAGTATAAGCACAAGGTTGATACCAATGAGAGAAGGAAGAAGAGAAGAAAAGACTATTGCCAATGCCTAGGCTCTCCTGGTAAAAAAAAAAAACCTCAGTAATTCGGAGCAACCTCAGCAAGGATCGTTCGAGCAAGACCGGGGAGAGCAAAGAGTAAGGGTAAACAAAATGGGAAAAGAATGAATAAATGAGGGGAAACAGGGTGGAGAATAGGGTAATGGAAGACGAAGGGTTACCTGGGACTTCATTACGGGGACGGGAAGCCTCATTTCCTAATGGGTGAGGCTGGGTCGCTACTCGCTTAACTACCGACACAAACGCACCAGCCATGACGCAGAGCAAGATCGACGCCGGCGTCGACGCTGTGGGAGACGAAGGGACGGACGAGAAGGAGGCACGTTTTAACGTGGCACTTGCGGCGTCGGCGGGAATAAACAATCAACGAGATTTCACGAGCGATGGGCCCGAGGCAGGGTTTGATTGGGATACAGATAGGAAAATGCAGACCTTGGGCGTCGGCGTCGGCGTCGGCGTGCGCGATGCTCGAGAACACCGTCGTTTGCGAGCATGCTAGAGACTATAGCCAATAAAAGCCTAAGGGTTAGGGGGATTCTGTTGCGAGCTATTTGGGGTTGACGCGCGTCGCGAGTTCCCGGAGTCTTCAAATAAAGGGAACGTACAGTTGCGTCGTTGGGCGTCGTTCCCGATAACGGGCGTCTATGTGGTCAAGTTTTAAAAAAAAAAGTTCTCGACAGTGCTCGATACGATGATAATGTAGAAAATTTTGGAGACCGTACACGAGCGTACTGCACGTTGTTTCCTTCTGGAAAGCAGGGCGTCGCGACGCCAAGGAACTTCCCTTCAATTATTCTCATGTAATTTAGCGTGAAAACGGTGTTCTAGCATATTAGTACAACAGTGACCCGCCAAACGGAGAACGTGACGTAGAGAATGGATTCCAAAGAAACAGAGTGGACCCTGCCGATCCCAGAAGGTTGAAGGCCACGTCAACGTCAAGTGGTCGATTTTTATGGTCTTCCAAGGAACTCGACGCCGATGTCCTTAACCATCTTCTTCCTAAATCGTCGCACTACGAGAGACTACGCAAAGTTTCGACCACGTCTGGAAACTGTTCCATAAGAATACGGAGAGTGATCGAATTAGATTAAACCCTTTTAAGCCTTAGCCAGTCATGTAGCGTCCGAGAGACTACGTGGAGACTAAGATGGCGTAGTCTCTCAGACGCCACATGGCTGGTTAAGGGTTAAGGAGCCCAGACACAACATATATCTTAAAGAAGTCTAACGGGACAAAAGGTGTCCTTTAGATGTCTCAAAGATGACCTTTGCGCGTACGTGTCTGGTAAGGTGTCGAGAAATTTGAGAATCGACTAAACCATGTAGAGTAGAGAACGTCGATTATCCGAACTAAATGGGGGACCATGGGTATTCGTAAACTCAACTTGTTCGGATAATCGATAATTTGGTGTAAATCAATGGGAATTAATGGAAAACCATTAACTTTGGCAAAAAAGCATTGACAATGAAAATTTGTCCTATCGCACGATTCTACGCGGTGTTTACGCAGAAAAGAGTGCCAAAGGAACACAAGCTATAAGCTACTCTAACCCCCTCAACGACAACTCCCCCCCCCCAACCCTATTCGTCTAATGAAGCGTAACTGTTCCAGAAGGAAGTCTACAGCAACCCTTCTACGAAGGGTTTGTAATTTCTCACGCAACAGCTCCTTGTTACGCCACCTTAACCAGACCTCCAACCCTTAACCAAACTAATAACTTGCACACAACAAAGAACCCCATAAGGCATTCCAGACTATCGTACTTCATATACGTATATACCGCATCGACGTCATTTTACCGCAATGCTTACTAGTCAAACCTAACCTAAAACTACGCAAACGAATCTATAAGCAGAATGAGTTAGGTAAATGATAAATAAGGTTGGAATGCAATAGAGGTTTACAAAGCTTTTAAAGCATATGAAGTATGATGCGAGCGGCATAAGAATGGATTAAATAAAAGGAGAGACCAAATATTAACAAGAGATTAATTAAAATACGAGTAAAAATGATAAAGAATTATGGTAGCCGTAATCAGATGGTAGGGGGAGAAGTGGAGACGTCACGCGATGTCCCTTTAATCCGATTCTGCGCGATAGCGGCGCCCGCACCTCCGCAGGGGGTAGGCGTCGCGTGAGTTCACCAGAGCCGATACCTAACTTTCTACAGTCTATGTACACAAGCCACACAGCATGGTTTGTTATGAACGGATTCCAGGTAATGGCAACTGCTACAGTATTCTCGAGCTTCGTTTACGTTATAGCTAAAGGGAAATAGTCTGCTTTTCATACCTCATGATTCTTGATAGGCCCCGAGCCTAGGCTCTATTAGGTATAGTGTTGGATGGTGGTGCCGGGCGCCTCTGCCTACATCCAGAACCAAGAAAAATTGAGGAACGAGTAAACGTCCCGATTTCCACCCCCAAACATGAGTGTCGCATGCGAGAAAGATTGACAATGGAAAGAGTACGCCAAAACACCCTTAGGGACGTTGGGTGGAACCTGCGATACTCATGCTAGTGAATCCTATTCCAGTGCTATTGGATCTTCCTGTTACTCTCTTCTCGCTCGCTCTATTGCGAAAGTTCATCAAGGGCTTTCGTATGTCGCCTTTACCTGTCCTTTGGAAAGGGACACCTTCCTAGGTTGGCTACTTCACACG